ATTATGAAATAAGAATACAGACCGAAAGTGCTCCGGAACTTGGATCACCTGATGAGTAGTCGCGTCGTTGCTTAATATGTCTGCTATACGATGTGGTACCTAAAACTAGTCTTGATCAGTTACTTAAGAACCCCATCATACGACGGCTCCAAATCATTCCAAATCAACAGATCGAGGAGTTGTGCTATTGAGACGGCAACTAGAACTGGAGACGATTATGCGGGTTTGAAAAGTTTCTGAAAAATTCCGAACAGAATGAACAAGAACCATTATGATGATGAGGATGCGGGTGATTCTGATGGTACAATGAATAGTTTCGATCATCTCTTGAATTACTGCCCCGATAATTACTGTTATGACCAGACCGTTCATTCAGTATATCACACATAAATTCAACCATCGATATATTCGGCTTATAGAATACGGTATGCGTTACTGAAATTTTTACCAATATCATAATTATGTCACTGTTAGTATCACTGATATCACTATAGTTATCACAATTCATTCAATAATCCTCGTAACTGCAAAGAACTATGGCGTAGATCAGTTCTCAAACATGATAACCTGAACATATGACTAGTTATATTTTGATATGATCACCACTATCAACCGATACTGGGTTGATGAACCAGGCANTATAGGCTTTAACTATCGAGAAGATACCATCAATATTAAGTAAGGGCTTCCAGCCAGTTGCTACGTGTGCCGATGAGAAGAAGCCAGTCCACATCTCTTTACCACCTTCTAAATCCAACGCTAATGCACCGTTCACAGGAAGACGATAGCACGATGACTTGAAAGCACAGAAATTCGCTGCATTGCTGGAAAAATCATCTCATCTCAGAATCTGAACTGTTTTCGAACAGAAACATAATCGTGCAATTATGTTTGCTACTTAGATGAAGTTTACGATTAATTGTCTTCCTCCTTATGGTGGAATTATCTATGATTTTCCTCGAATTCACTCTGATCGTCATCGAATTATTTTGATCTTCTTACAGTTCATTGTTGAGTAACTTCACATTCCCTAAGGCAGTGGTTCTCACTTTCGGGTGCTTTATTACCCGTTTTGATGATGTGACAGGTCGCCGTTACCCTTCCCCCCTCTCCTTGTTATGTTCAGATGACCGTTACGTTCACATCTTGTTAGCACGTTCATGATGCTAATCGACATCATTGGGCCTTCTCTTTGACCATTGTTTAGTATTGCGATCGATTATGGTTGCATGAAAAGCTGTTGTTCATGACACGCTCACTTCAAACTGTTTTGCATGGATTCTCATTCTTTTTAGACGTGTTGTATTCGCTCTCATAGCTATCACATGCGAATATCGTTCTATTGATGAGTTTTTATCATTCACTTCGTCTCAATTTCACTTCAC